ATTTGGGTTAATTAGGGAGAGATTAGCTACAAGTAATACACAAAGAGGGTTCCATTCTACATAAAATCATTCACTGCCCAACCCAACAATAATGCTGTTTGCCCCTTAGGAAAATGAACTCCTTTAGATAAAATATGATATTTTTTAAATCACATAATGGCATAACATTTCTCTCAATGATTTAAAAATGTAAAACCTTAATAATTGTTTATTTTTCCCATGTAACGGAGAAAGATACACTTACATCAATTGGAAATAACAGTGGTCTCACGTATTTCTGCCGCGTTGGTTGCTTCAGTTAATGTCCTTACTGTCTTATTTACTGTTATTTATTTTCTTTAATTTTGCATTTCCTGCTACAGCAGAGGATGAGTCACTCACAGCTTTCCACAACAGCCCCCTTCAATATCTGTGAAACAATAAGGTGATTTGTAATTCACGTCCACTCAACTTATATAGAATAATGTAAGGATACAGCTTTCATTGCGATACATTTTCATTTGTTCTGTTTAATCAGTAAACAGCTATTGGTAACAGTAGAAGCATTATAGGTTTAAAGGGCAAAAAACTACATCTTTTGTTGTTTTTTTAAACAGTTTTTCAAACATTTGTGCATGCAAAAAGAGACAAATACTTAAAAAAATAACAAAAAAATATCAAATATAAATGGTAAAACACGTTATGTCTTCATAATAATTAGCATTATTTTCATTTTTTTTTAATAAAAATGCTATTTATTTTGTCTTAACTACAATTCCTGGTGTACTATGCAATGCCACACATTAAATATAACCTTGAGATGTTGATGTCAATTATGCAAATTCTTACATTTATTGCCATAAAAGAGACTAGCCAGTAAGGATGTGCATGGGTGAAAAATTCGGTTTGGTTTGGAAATTCGGGAAAGTAAAAAAATTTGTCTGCTTCGGCAATACGGATCAATGGCATTCAGTTTGGTTTGGCACTTCGGAAGTGCTGAATGTCACCACTTCGGCACTTCGGAACTTCAGACATTCGTAAGCTTCCGAATATCTGAATTGCCGTATGAATGTACATTTGGAACGAAATGAATTGCACATGTCTACTTTATATATCCTATATAATAATTGTCTAATGATGTTTGCCCAATGCAGTCATACGCAGTAGAGACTGCGCAAGACTTCATGGGACAAACATCCCATGCCAGACATCGAGGGAGCAAAGTACTTACTGTACTCTTGATGCACAGCTTCCTCGCACGTCCTTCAAAGTCCGCTGGCTGCCGAGATGTGATATGTACAGGATTTGAAGTCATTGCACAAAAGGAATTAGCTTATTGGACAAGATTCCTGTCATCATTCATGCAATTTTCCCTCTCTCTCCTTTGTTTTGCCACTTTTCAGAAATTCGAATCACTTCGGCGCTTTGGCACTTCCGAACTACCAAACTTCGTCCCCTCGGAACTTCGGTGCTACAGGAATTCGGCACTTCGGACATTCATAAGCATCCGATGTCCGAATAGCATAAAATTTGTACGAATGTACATTCGGAACAAAACAAATCGCAGCTGTCTATTAGCCAGTGCATATCTTCCTCTCCTCCAGCTACGTCATCTAACATTTAAGATTTACTTTTATTCTAAATTCTCCTAGTAACCCATTTTTACAATACATAGAATGCATTTTGCCATTATCTTTTGTGTAATTATACCCTACTCCTCTTTAGAATGTAAACCTGCAACCCTCACCACCTGCTCCTGTACGTCCGCCCTGTCTTGTTTCTCCTCGCTTTTCTAATTCACATACAGTGCTGTGAAATATGTTGGCTTTTTATAAATAATAATAACTATAAAACAGTAATTCTTGGTAAACTATCACCAGGCTCATAATAATGAGTGTTAATTATGCAACACAATCTGACACCAATGAATAGGTACTTACAGGAAAGTTAGAGGTACTTATCTTTTTGCAATTGACAACACATAATCTCATTTGTCAATCTCTGTGTCACAGGATGACATTAGCACATTACCCTTGTGTAGGCGTATATTGGCCCTAACTATTCTGTACACTGGCTACTGTGCACAAAGTAACCTTGTCAGAGTAGCCAAATAGCTTATAAAATGTCAATATATTATATTAAATTACCTATGTAGCCCATCTCACAGAAAACAATCTTCTCTTACTGTCTTGCCAATTCCCTGGAATATTGAGCATGTCAGTTACTTACTAGTGTAGCTTTTGAAATAATAAAGGCTGTTGACCTAGTGGCCGCAGGTTGACGTGACTGAAACCGTAATAAATATATATAAAAATGATAGGCCTTTTCTTAGCAGAGTGGAGATTGTGAATAGTTTATGCATTTTCTTGTTACCATTTTTTAATTGTTGCCTGTATCATAGATAGCTATGTGGAAGGATGAATGTAATTATGGAATATTGTGAAGATTATATTGCTGTAAATTATTTTATGTTTCAAAACCTCATTACACTGGAAATTCAGAATCAATATGTGCTTATAGAAAATACCGAATTATTTCTGTAAATTAATATAATTTAGTGCTGATTATGGGATGGAAGAGATGTGATTACTAATTCGAGAGGGAGTGAGATGGACGTTGTGATCAATAAAGAATTGAAGAAATTAATCATGATGGCCAACAGAACAAGGAAGGAAGTGGGGATGATGTTTGATTAAGAAGAATCGAAAGTGGATATATCTTACTGGATAGAGAGGAACATGAGGATAATGACAACTTAAGCATGGAGGAAGGAGAGGGACATGGTGGTTGTTTTGGGAAGAAGTTTGAGATATAATCTCAAATTTGCAAAGAACGGAGGTTTGAGGAATAGGAATGTCACAATGTTAAAGAAGAATGAAGGATAATGGTAGATTAACCACTAAAGAACCACATGATGGTTTATAACAGGGATAGGCAACCTTGGCACTGCAGATGTTGTGGACTACATGTCCCCTGATGCTTTGTTGGCATTATGGTTGTAAATGCATTATGGGATATGTACTTCAAAATATCTGAAGTCCCAAAGGTTGCCTATGCCTGGTCTATGCTATCAAGTGCAGTGTTTAAAGCCTGGTGATGGCATTGACCGTACCAGCAGTAAAAGTACCAGCAGGGCTGCATCCCTGCTGGTACCAAGGAACCCTAGGTATATATCGAAATCTTTCAAGTAAATCCATACCCCCTTACAGCAGTGTCCAGTGAAGCAGGAAGTCAATGGGTGGGGTAAAAGGGTAGGCCGCTGACGTGAATCACGTGACCAGAACTGCCAAAAGGGGCGAACATGCCCAAAAACGGGGCATGTCTGTCCAAAGAATTGGAAGCCCAGTCTGGCATCAGTGTCCCTATGAATCACAGTGTCAGTGTCCCCATGTCGCCCAGTTTCCCAGTGTCTCAGTGTCCCCATTTCTCCCAGTAAAAATAAAAATCCCTATCTACTAAACAGCTACTTTGATGCTAACAGATTTTGCTAGTTTTATTAAAAACACCTAATCTAGGCAAAAAATAATGGGTGTTTAGTTACATTATATTATTATACATTGCATAAGCCTGCCACAATGTCAATGTACCCCAGGACCTACTCTAACTGTCTGCTAAATGAGCTACTCACTTGGGAAAATCCTTCCATTTCGAGTTCTCTGCAGTACCAGGCTAAATAGGGTCCTGAAATGAGGCACCTGTGACAGGGATGGGTGCAAAACCAAGGAGCTGGCTAGACTCCCAAATATATACATATAGGAAAAAATAAGGGGTTAGCTTGTTGGGGACACTGAGACACTTGGGGACACTGGGAGACATGGGGGGACTTGTGGACATAGACATGGGGGCACTGGGGGACATGGGGACTGTGACAGATCCCTCTGTCTTGGAACTATGCCTATACCCCTTTGGTTTCGTCTGTTTTTTGATTAATTGACTGTCCGTACCCCCCTTTCGTTTATTTACCAAACTCCCGAACAAACTGCTGAATGGCCGACCACCCAGCATGGAAGGGTGCTGCTGGTTAACCTCTTGGCCTCATTAGAACATTGTGGTTAACCGCAGACACCTCCTAATTGTCAACGGTATGCTGGGTGGTCGTCGTATGTATTCCGACCACGAGGCGGCGGCCATCTTGGACGCACGAATGATCAGCGGTGTTCGACGATGATTTCATGGAACTGAAAACGGACACTATTTCTCCTGAACACTGCTGAAGCCGCTGGAAGACCTGCATAAATACCGGGCAGGTAGCCCTCAATAAACCAGATCTCTGCTTAACTCTAAATTTGAAGCTTGGTCTCGTACTTGGGGGTATTGGATTCGTATGGTTTACTCGTTCGGATGTTTAGTTTGTGAAGGATTTCGTATGGTTCCTGTTCGGCTAATTGGAGCTTTCATTAGCTGCTTCTCCATTCGGAAAGGGAAAGTCCTCAGCGGTATTAACCCCTCATATACCTGGGTGTACTGTAACAGGTACACAGACATTTGGGGACACTGGGAGACATGAGGACATTAAAGGATGACTATAGTGACTAAATGACTATACAAAGTGGTTTTCCTGACACTATAGTGCCCTGAGGGTGCCCCCCACCCTCAGGTTCCCCCTCCCGTGGCGCTGAAGGGGTTAAAACCCCTTCAGCAGCTTACCTTTATCCAGTGCCAGTGACCTCTCCTCCCCCGCCGACTTCAGCTGCCGAGTGGAGCGGAATGCGCATGCACGGCAAGAGCCACGCGCGCATTCAAACAGTCCATAGGAAAGCATTTCTTAATGCTTTCCTATGGACTCTCTGCACAATGGATGCAAAATTTGGATCCAGCGTTGCAGATGCGCCGCTAGCGGCTGTCAGGAAGACAGCCCTAGAGGTTGGCTTAACCCCGACTGTAAACATAGCAGTTTCTCAGAAACTGCTATGTTTACATCTGAAGGGTTAAAACATGAGAGATCTGGAACCCAGACCACTTCATTGAGCTGAAGTGCTTTGGGTACTATAGTGTCCCTTTAAGGGCACAGAGAGACATGGGGACAGTGAGACACTAGGGACACAGACTCTGGGAGACATGAGGACAGTGAGACACTAGGGACACTGGCTGGGAGACATGGGGACACAGACATTTGAAGACACTGGGAGATATGGGGACACTGGGAGACATGGGGACAGACACTGGGAGATATTGGCACACTGGGAGCCATGGGGACACTGAGAAACTAGGGACACTGGCTGGGAGACATGGGGACACGGGGAGACATATGCCCATATGTCTGACAGCCTCCCATGTGTCTCAGCATCCCCATGTCTCACAGTATCCCCTAGTGTCTCAGTGTCCCCATGTTCCCCAGTGTCTCGGTGTCCCCAGGTCTCCCAGTGTCTCCTAGTGTCTCAGTGTCCCCATGTGTCCCTCAGTGTCCCCATGTCTCCCTGCTGCCTTTCCCCTCATCCCTCACTTCTCTGAGCTGTAGCCTGTCTCTGCAGGCTGTGAGCTGCTGTCTGGACTCTCTGTGCTGTGTAGCTGCTCCCCCGCAGATCAGTGAGTAGAGAGAGGCAGGGAGGGATATGCTGTAACTTCCTATTCCTGCCTCTCTCCACACACAGTGACACCTACTGGCTGGTGCTGGTATTGCAGTGTAATCTCTGTTTATACTGAGAAAAATATCTGCATTTGTATTGCCGGTATTACTGCAATACCGGCATGGCCAGGTAGTCTCAAATACCGACTGTGCCAGTAAAATACCAGTCAGGTGGCTAACCTAAGAGTAGTGTTTTTTTTTTTTTAAATGGGCCTATTTCATGGGCCTGGGCCTGGGCCTGGGCCTGGAGCTGCAGCTCCATCAGCCCCTATGTTAATCCGGCCTTGCCTAGAAGAGAACTTATCTCATCATATCTGAGCATCATGAGAGTAGTTGTTTCACATCAGGTTATGAGCTATGTTCATTTACATTTGTTGTGTAAAAACATTAACTGTTTTGTGATCACAGCTTTGTTCTTGGTGCGTATGGTACGTTTTTACACCTTTTTATGAATAACTAAATACATACCCTTTATATAAAAAATATATAATGTGTGGTAAATATGCTGTTTATCTGTATCCTTTTCAAAAAATGTCAGAGCTCTCTCAGCAATAAGAATCACCGTAGTATTATGAACTACCTGCATTGATAAATTACAGCACTTTAGATACAATACCTGTTGTTATTGAGTAGCTGGCCAGGGGACAATTGAGTACATTTTTATCTATGACGAGTCACAGCTAAATCATTGAACAGAGATATAGATGTCCTATGCTTGTGTGTGACGCCAATATCAGATCGCACAATGAACAAAAGAGACTTTAATAAGCTTCAGCGATACGAGTAAATGGCTATATATCATCCTATATCACAATGCCAGAAGCTACATCTTGCTAATCTGTTGCTCATGAATGTTCGAAAGATTAAGAGGTATCCTGCACATGTCGTGCTTGTGCAGTAATTCAGCCACTGTTTTTCTTTCTCTCTCTCTCTCTCTATCTTAGTTTTTTGTTTTTCTTTTCCGTTTCTAGTGGGATAAATGAGGTATAGAAAGCCGTATTTCATCACTTCTACAGGTTTTCTGCACTGTTTAGTCATTCTGTCAAGGTGACAAATGTTCAGGTAGAAAGACGGATTTAGTGCAGCAGATGATCAAGGTTGTTTGTAGTTGATAGACATCGAATTTTAAAGGTAAAGCGAATTTGCCAAAAGGAAATCAGCAGCTTTGAATTTTTATTAATATTATAGCGAACTGGACAGACTAACAGACAAACAGAAGATAGATAAAAGAGGCAAAGAGATATTTTAAAGTACTAGTGCCCAGTGATTAAATAATTGACACTTATTATGAAAGAGTTAGAAGATGTTCGGAATAGAAACAAATCTGTTTCCAATGGAAATTTGACCAATCTCTCTAAAAAAAACATTTTCTAAAATAAACACATGACAATGGATTCCAGTATCCTGGTCTCACGTGTTTCCCATCAGGTTGTGGTCAAGTACCATGTTAATCTATGTCTTTTATATTAACTGCGCTGTTTTTGTTTACATTTCAAATGAATGAATGGCATACAGATCTCTGCAGAGTAATTACTCATTGACTTATTTCTGTTTAGCATGTTTACTTGTGTCTATCGAAATGCATCCCTCCATACTGACGTTTAGTTCACATTTGTAGAGTCTGATTGGCATTACAATAATCTCTGGGTAGAAGTGCAATGTTAATTCCTTCCAAAATAAGGCGTCTTGCTCTGCCTTGTCCCACAGGCTATGACTGATTAATTCTCAGCTATTGACCACTGCTTGTGCCACAGACTAAGATTGATTACCAACAAATGGCCCTTGTTTGTAACATGGGCTACCATTGATTGATTCCAGGCTACTGGTCTCTGCTTGTATGATTCTGTAATAACTTACTGTTGACTTTGCTTTGATTTCTTGTTATCATAAAGAAGCCAACATCTAACCATGGCAATCTGTTTTAACAAATATATTGTTCAGTGTGCAACATCAATCACAAAATACAAAAGTGAGATGGAAGTGGGCATTGACCAAGCTTCAGCAATTTCCACCCAACCATTCAGTCCATATGATTTTTAATTTACGTAAGTGCCAACTATACAACTAAGGCTCAGTGTGACATTAACCGTCTTCCTATTATCATTCCTTGTCCACTCTTGTCTGCTAGTCTAGTCATATTCCCAAAATATGGGGAAAGGCAGTGAGAAAACAACCTACCTACATCCATACTTCCTACTTTAAAATATTGGGACAATCTACAGCTGTGCAAGGTTTACCAAATATAAATCCAATATCACCAAGAATGTTAAACTCTTTAAAACATAAATACGCAAAACAATATATATATATTTAAGCATACACTTAATACTCTGATCTGTTCTTTTGTTCGTTTTATTTTAGAATGTGCTCAGTTGTTAACTAATGACTAACAGGTAGTACTGTAAATATTTCGAAATGGCACTGTGGCAGCAAAATGCTCATTTTGATACAATGACCTCGAGCTCTGTCAACGTTTTTAAAACCATTGTGAATCTTTTACAGAATGTCACTCATAAGGAAAAATACTGAACATGGCTAACATTTGATGATCTCCGTAGCTCAGACATTCCTAACAAGCAACCGATAGGTTTAACAAGCTATGGACCTATTAATATGTCAAGTGAGTGTATTTCTAAAGGTATTCGTCTGAACATCGAACGGAACAACTTCCTCAGAATTGACATTTAGAATAAAATAAACAAAGAAACTATGGGAAAACAACAGTACACCATGTAACGAGTACAAGCAGCAGTGATTGTCCTGTCAAAGAGCAAGAGAGGAAGTCTCAAGATATGAGCTTAAAAGGAAGGGATCTGTCCAAATACTTCTAGATACCTAGTGAACTATGAATAACATTTGTGTGTGAGCTCAGACACCTTCTTGTATGCCACTCGATTCAATTCTAGGCTTGTTCGTTCTTGACGTACAAGAGCAATTTATTTTCATGCCTCTCTTAACCTGGTCGGTGAAGCACTGATGGTTATCCTGACCAGAGGCCCACAGCTATAGTGGTTTAAAACCACTGATTTATTGCTACCTATAATTTAAAGTGGCACTGTCACCTTAAAATGTTCTTTCTATAAATCCGTTTTAAAACAATAAAGCAAATAGGCTTATGGTATTTCCATTCACACATGATATAGTCCAAGTGTAGCTGGAATTACCACTTGTGGCCATTTTGGAATTCCATCATAATTTTCAAGCCTTTAGTAACAGTTATTGATGAAAATTGAATTTCCGCAACCAATCATTTCCTGTGATTTGTAAAGAAATTCCCAGCTTTCCACTATGCAACAAATAAGAACTGGTTCTATGAACTCTTTGAAGATTCACTATGACTATGGTAGCAAAGATGACTATGAAATGTTTTATTTGATATTTTATTATAAAAAAAACTCAATGACTTCCCTAAAGCTTTGGAGAGTGAGTCACAGAGAAACAACTAGGCCATTAGCGATCACAAGGACGAGACAAAGTTGAGACCTACCTTAATAAAACACAAGTCAAAACAGAGCAGTCTTGAAATTCCAATCCCACAATTAAGGTCTGTGAAAACGGAGTCTGCTTACCCTATGGTTCCTCACAACAAATGTTTTCTGTGATTCCACATTTTCACTCAATATCCATATTCTACCACTACCACCACCGCAAAAAACAACCTCCCACCTTTCTACCACTTACACACACTCTGACACCTACTTACAAAGTATAACCGACCATTAATAATGCATAGCATGAACTGATTTACTAAAAAAACAAGTGATATTTTCATTGGAGCTCTTCCTAGCAGGATAGAAAAACCTGAGCAGTGAGTGTTTACATTACATAAAGCTCCCTTTAAGTTTACATGAGAACACAGCCCTCAGCTAGCTGCTCTAGAACCCTAATACGTAGCTTCTAAAGCAATGGTATGCAACTTTTGGAACTCCATGGTCATGATCTCCGCTGATACTGTGACAGCATCATGGCTAAAAAAACATTACAGGAGATGTAGTCCATAAAACCTGGTTTGCCTAAAGTTGCCTACTCTAAAGCATTTATTTCTTATTTTCTGGGTTGGGACTTGCAACTGTGCCACCAAGCATTTTAAAAAGCCATTTCACCGATTGGCACTATGGAGCAGCCAAAGTATTACAATATGCTACAGTTTAACAAATATTCAATGATCAAAGGAAAGTAACAGGCATGACTTTCTTCTTTCAGGAAAGACTTTAATCATCTACCATAGAACAGGCAGGGGACCAATAAAATTCATCTACCTGATATATTTCTAACACATCTAACTAGATATGAAACTTAATTTACCACATGCATGTGTTCAATGATTAGATAAGGAGAAAAAAACAATGAGAAAAACCACAAGAACTATTTCTGTTATTCTTGACGTTCATTTTTTCATCTCTCAGTTATGACGGCTGGATCATTTGCCTTTGTATCTCTGTCCTTATTACTAAAGTCAAGCAAACCATCTCATAAGAAGAGTGTGAAAAAAAAGTTTAATGCAAGTGAAAATATCTAGTTTCCAGTGTTTGAAAAGCTGGTACATGAGCAGCAATCAGAGGTGGCATTAAGTAAGAGCAGAGTGTTGAAGAGAATTAACATTTTGAAAAAGGCAAGCCAGGATAGCCAACCTGGAACAAAATGTTTCATTTAGTTGAAAGGAATAATTTTTCCAAATCTG